TAAAAGAATTAAGATTGACATTGATAATTACTTTTTTTTACCAGATTACCAGAGATACCTCCTGACACAAAAGAGACAAATCCCATCTTGAGAGTCAATGAGTTTCCAAAATTCAGTGAGATAACGCCGGACAAGTGCGTTACAGGCTGTGCCAAAAGGTCCATTGAATTTGATGTAGAGATTGGGAACTTTCTTGATACCATTAAACGTAATGTGGCTGAAAATTTTTATTTCTGACTATACTTGTTTCTATATTGTTGACATTTCAGGGTCATTTCATTTTAATTATTTATGTTTTTAATTTATAACATTTTTTAAATTAATATTTTTTGTTTATTTTTAATATTTAAATGAATAAATTTGTTTTTAATGTATTAATTTTTTCAGTCTAAAAACAAAATTTCACTGAAACAGAGAACAGACATTTGTTAACATTTGAAAAAATATTCCATCCATTGGAAGAGCAAGTCATTCCATTGAATTATGCCTGGAGAACTACCAAGCACCTGAGCTATGTCCAGAGCAACACAAGTTACAGAGATGCTTTTAAAAGGGTTAGATGACTAATCATTCAGACCATGGTCTAATATTATGGTTTCTATCTACAATGATCTTTCTCTGACGTAATAATTGATTTTTTTCAATATAAACCTGCATTATAAATATGCTTTCAAGATTCACTATCAAATAGAAAATGCAAAGAATCAAAGGTGGTTGAGTCCAGATTTGTACCTATCCATAAAGGTTGCATGCACTAACTTTTATTTCTAATTCTTTCATTTCTCAATCAATTCATTTTCTAGTCTGTTCATTACTGGTTCATTTATTCTCTAATCAATCAATCAAACAGTTAATTTAAATTAAGTAATGATTGACCTGTAATTATTTGAAAATTTAAGCAAAAGGTCAACATTCAAACTAATCATTCCTTTAGCCAATCACCAACTAGCTAATAAAAAAGTTTTAATAGAATAAACTAACCAACCAATCACTGCAAAGGAACTAAATGCTGGCCATCGATTGAGTCTGGACGTGCACCAACGTCGTCTGGTCGACATGTACCTACTGCAATCTCGCCTCAATGGTATTGAACTCACTGGTGATGAAAAGAAAAAATTCATCAATCACCTCATCAAGTTGGCTGAGCTTAAAAATCATTTCAGGTGAATATTCGTTTCCATCATTTTGATATTTTGTGGAAGAGTTCTTAGCAATATAAAGTATTCACCAACACCAGCAACATTATGACACCATGATGACGTCATTATGACATTATGATGACGTCATAACAACAACAGAAACAGGGTGATGATGTGCACTAACATGTTCTATCATGACATTGAAGATTTCTCTATTGTGTCTGAACTTCCAAAATCATTTCTCTCACATATATCAACAAATAAGTAGGTGTCTCTATGGTTTTTGTGTGCATAAACAAACAAGTATTTATCACCATTGCAATATTTTTCATCATCATCATCATTTTCTTCCTCATCCACATCATCATCTCTCTTTCCATCATTATCACCATCATATTTATCATTTACATCATCATCTTTTTCATCACTCTCATCATCTTCATCCTCATCATTTTCATCTTCTCCATCATCATCATCATCATCCTTCTTATCAGATTGGATCCGACCAGGGGACCATGGAGGGTGACGTTGAACCAGACCATCTACAACACAATGATGAGTTACTGCGGTGATCGAATGACTCGATGGAACCTCTGGAATGCTTACAATAACAGGTGGCCTTCACATTCACATTTGCTCTGTCCGGATAATTAACATAATTTATTAAAATGTTGCATGGATAATTAACTTAATGTTAGTTTGAATAGTTAGCATATTTCATTTATTATATGCTGATTTTTTTCCAACATAGAGCCAGCAGGAACCATGATGACAAAAACTTGTCTAACCATATTATCATTGAGGAAATTAGACTATTAAGGTTAGTCGTTAGTTTATCAATTCATTTATACATTCATACATTCATTCATCCTCTCAGTCATTTATTCATTTATCAATTCATTCATTCATTCATTCAGTTAGATTTTGAAATCTTAAATAGTTTATTATGATCACATGTTTATAGAAGTGATATTGCAAAGTTTTTGAATTATGCAACTTATGCTGATATGTCCATGGAGACAAAGATGGCTGGCTCTGTTGATGTCGTTGTTTCCCTGATTGACAGGTTGGTTGGTCAATTGGTTGACTGGTTGATTGCTGGCTGGTTGGGTAGTTTTTTTGATTGATTGATGAACATTTGGCAATATCTTTTTTATTATTAAATTTTTAATTTTATCAATTAATAGCATAAATTATTTTATACTTACATTATTCATATCAACTGGCCAATCAAATCAAATAAATTCTCCAACCAATCAAATCAACCGACCAATTGCGAACCAGCCTGAAGCAGAGGTTTCAACCAATAGCAGAGGACGAAGTAACACAACTACAGGAATTTGCGAACAGCGAAGGCTTTCCATTCAAACTCGAAATGTGGGACGTTCCTTACTGGCGAAGGAGGCAGCTGGATCATATGTATCCGTATGTTTGTTATTATTATTATTATTATTATTACAAGGTGAAATGTAATTATACTTACTCTGGTTACATTTTTTCATTGTAAATTATACAAAGCATGCATACAAAACATATAAGCTTATATAATTTATATCATACATATATAGCGCGCACGCACACACACTAAGTTTTTTTTCCATCATAGAGTAAACACTGATGGCTTGAAGGATTATTTTCCATTAAAAAGAGTCTTTGAGTACCTCTTTGGCTTCTGTAAGGTCCTATTTGGAATTCAATTCATTGTGAGTTGTGTTTGCAGATTATTTTCCTTTTTTTTTGTGTGTGTGTGTGTCAGCTTATTTTTATTATTCTTATTAATTATATTTATTATTATTATTATTGTTATTATTATTGTTATATTACTTGTTGTCATTGTTTAAGCCCATTTATTTTTAATGATAATTTTTTGGATCAAGCTGTTTACAAAACCCATTCAGTTTTAATTGTGTTAAATAAATTTTGTTACAAATTACATTGTTTATTTACTTATCTTAGATATTTATTTTAATTATTTTATTTAACTTAGATGAACTTTTGATGAATCAATTATATTATTTATATATTTATTTATTATATTATTATGTTAATGAGTAAATGAATTAACTATCTTAATGATTTATTGATTAATGTTAATTAGGATTGCACTGGTACTGTTGAGACTTGGCATGAAGATGTTAAATTCTACAGACTCTATGACAATGAATGTACGTTTGGGCAATAGTTTGGGGCTATAAACCAAAATTTATATTCAGATGAGATCCTATAATCATGTTTTCTGCAACCAGAATGTACTTCCATCGTTCGATTATTGCAAAAATTGTTGATAGATTAATTAAAATTAGCAGTTTAATTTCACAATGTAGCTACACATTAAAATTGTTACTAGTGCTAATATGACATTAATTTTTCAAGACATTAACAAGGATATAGTTCAGTGGATGAATTGTAATGAGAGATAGAGTAGTAGTTACTAGTATACATTGTCTGAATTCAAATAAGTTTCCTGCCTTTCAATAGAGATGTCAGATGTGTTGTTTACGTGTTTCTGTTGCGTTTGCGCTATATAAATCACAATGTTTTTTTGCTATATGAATCACAATGTTTTTGCGCTATATAAATCACAATGTTTTTGCGCTATATAAATCAAAATGTTTTTTCTTTCCATGGAACAGCTGGGAAAGAGTTAGGAGCATTTTATTTGGACGCCTTCACTCGACCCAGTGAGAAGATGGGTGGGGTCTGGATGGAGTCTGGAAGAGGTAGTTGATTGTTCGGATGTTAGTTGTGTGTGGTGGTGTTGCTGCCTGCTGGTGTTATGTATTAATATTTGTCATTTTTGTGCTCTCCTGCTAGCAGTATTGTGACTGCGTTTCAAATGGTTCTGTTAAATATTTTTACGCTGCCTCTTATGTTCATTCGTTCATTTAGTCATTCATTTATTCGTTCATGTATTTTTCAATCCTTCCGCCATTTGTTCATTCATTCATTTACTTGTTTAATCAGTACATCACTTTCCATCCTGTTTCTAGAGAGAAGCCAGTTTCTGAATCTATTTCCATTCAGTTACTTCTGCCTCAACTTGGACAGACCAGAACAAGGGAAGCCTTGCTTGGTCACATATGAACAACTACAGCAAATATTTTTTCAAGTCTGTCAATCTTTCTCATAATTAATTTCTTTTTTTTTATATAACTATTTATAATTATCTTCGTTGTTGTAATCATTACAATCGATCAGAGATGTACATTAGCCTAGCTTTAAGAACTTTCACACTTGAACAACCCTTTCTCCTTGACCTTAGTTTGGGCATGGTTTACAGCAGTTGGCTACGACGACACCATATGGCGAGATATCAGGGCAGAGGAATATTGAGTGGGATGCACTGGCCACGTGTGCCAATCTAATGAAGATGATCCTGAACACCAGGCAGACGCTGAGATCGATGAGTCGACATTATGAAACTGGAAAGTCACTACCCGATGATGTTGTCGATTCCATTATGAAACGTTAGTCAAGTTGGGGTTTGTGTTTTTTGGTGTTATTTTTGTGGCTCATGTGGCTTATATTCATCCAAAAATCATTATTACCACCTCACTCACATCGTCGTCATCCTCATCATCATAATCAGGTCGCCATCACCTATCATCATTTGACAACATGATGAACCTTTACACAAGCGCCTTTGACCTTGAACTCTATATCAAGTCGGTCAAAGAAAAATAAATTACTTTTTCGAAATTTTCATTTACAAATATTATGAAAGAATAATTATTTGTATAAAAACTGTTTTTTTTTATTGTTAATTATATACATGCTTCTCTTCAAACATCTTGTTGAAGAGTGTACACATCATCTTCATCGGTAGTAGCAGTAGGAGGATCATTTTTTTTCATAACTTTTTTCCACCTCATCATCTTTACCATCCTTACCGTCTTCATCATCTATACCGTCATTATCTTCATTATCATCTTCCACGATCAGCAAAGACAGATGGCACCCGGTGATGCAGAAGGTATGGGGCGATTTCGTGCCACTACCACTGAATGATGAAGACTACCATCCATGCTCACTAACGCCAATCTTCTCTGGACTCTATCCCGCTGCCTATTTTAGTCACAAGTGGTCAGAGGTGGGTTGGTCAGTTTGATTGATTGATTGGTTGATTGTGTTCCTTGGTTAGCTTGTTCATTGACTGAGCGAATGTTTGTTTGATTGAGTGATTCAATCACTCAATTTTTAACATTTTTCAACCTCAACAATAGATGTTGGCTTGTGACATATTCAAGACGTTCAGGAATGCTAGTAGGGAGGGAACCCACAAGATGATTGAAGTGGGAACCAGGTACGTTTGCTGCTTAGTTGTTTGGTTGTTTTAGTTGGTTGATTGATATGATTGATTGACTGGCTGGTTGATTGACGCGTTCATTCTTTTATTCATTAATTTTTTTATCCATTTATTCATTGGCGATTAGGTTTTTACGTTTATTTAAAAATGTTTTTCTTAAAAAATTTACAATACTAACCAACATAGTTAGTAAAAATGTAATAATTAGTTATCCCAAACCGTACCGCAGATATGAAAGTACATTTAATCATCAATTATCCTAAATTATACCATAGATATCGAAACACTTTTCTGTCTATGGGAGGCGGCTTGCCATCATCCGAAGTTTTCCGTAGATTTCAAGGGCAAGATCCGAGTCCCGAGTCATTGGTCTCTTATTATTTACATAGATAATTATTTAGTTGAATTTTACAATTAAAATTTTTAATAATTATTATTATTTATTTTGATTATGTTTTTTTTATTTTTAAATTTGTATTATTGTTACTGTTAAATTCTGTGCGCTATTATTGTGCACGTACATGGACATGAGATGCTCGTTTAGTATCAACAACCTCATGTAGTTGATTAATGTACATAGACGACGATGATGCTATTTAAAGTAATTCACTCATGTGAAATAAAATAAACATGAAATAGAAACAATAAATAAATAATAATAATTATATTATTGATAACGTTTATTATTATTATTGTTATTTTTATTATTATTTTTTATTCTATGATCAATGTTTCGCTTTGTTGATAGTGTATGGATGAAATGTTATTTCATCTCTGTCGTTTTTGGTATTATTTTTGTTATTATTATTCCTATTATTACATTTATTATTGTTAGTTTTATTCTTATTGTTTTTAGTAAAGCTACCGCTTTTTTTATTTGTTAGGTCATTTTTGATTTATATCTTTAACATGTAGGTGCGAATGCTGGCTTGAAATCGTCGTTCAAATTCAGTTTCGTTTGTTTTCATTAATCATCATCGTCGTCGTCGTCGCCATTATCGTTTTATTACGTCTAGTTTAATTAATTAAAGTAATTAATTGATTAAAGTATGAAAATGTTTCTTGCGTGATCTCTATGTGTATGTATGTCCACTGTCCAGTTTGTCCACCATAGGTTATTAAAAACGAATCTAATTTAATGGCTTTGTGCGTTTTCTTACAATCTTCAGTTTTTTATGGTGTTCAAATTTTCAATGTTAAGATGCAGGTTTTGTATTCGCTACAGATCAGGAAGATGCAATTTTATGGTTCTCGTTTTAAGAAAGATTTCACTTTTTTGAATTTATTTTTTACATTCATCATGATTGTTGAGGATTAAAAGATAAACTTGATTTTAAAGTCGTTGTTATCATTATATCGAATGCGTACGCGTTGTGTGTATATCATGTTAGTACGAGTGTGATATCTGTCAATAAAACGAATTAATTTACTCGATTGTTCTTTTCTTTATGGGATATGCAGACTAATAAATCCTCCAGTCGAAGACATATTATACGTTCTTTCCACTGTGTTCGCCAGGAAAAAAGCTAGGCCTTCAGATTCGCTTTAAAGTTAATAAATTCATAAGAGATAAAAAAAGATGATGAATTTTTTCGAATAAACAGATATAGAAAGAGCAAAAGCATGCTTGCAGTACAAAAAGTTCGTAAGATCAAGGTGTAAAAAAAGGGATTGCTATCTAGGAATTAGCTGTCTAGGGATGGTTACAGAATACTTCTAATATAATACGAAAGACACTTGTGCACTCCTGTTACATATAGGTAGGCACAGTTAGTATGTAAGACAACAAAAAACATGGCAAAACAGCAACAAAATTAAAACTTAAGTTAAGGGTTATTGAGGGAAATTGTACGTTCAATTTGTGTTGAGTTTAGTCAGAGAAACTGTATAAAACAGCAGTTAATTTGACATATGCGATGTTACTAAATATAATTATGAATCTGCGAACTTGTCACATTTTGCGTGTCTTCTCAAACACTCCTACGTACTTAACTGTACTCATATATATATATATATATTATTACTTTCTTTTTCCCTTTCTTTTCTCATATATCTCCATATCTTGTTCTCTTGCACTGGCTACCTATAAAATATAGAATAATTTTTAAAATTTGCACGTTCATGTATAAGTCTCAATCTAAATTATTTCCTAAGTACTTATCAGATATATTAATTGAACCTAAACGCCCCGGTTTACGATCGTCTTCTTTTTCTCGCTTTTTCTTAACTCGTGTTAAACACTCTTTTGCCAAATCTGCTTTTGCTTTTTCTGGTCCTTTTCTCTGGAACTCTCTAACTACTTCTCTAACTATTTCTCCATCACTTGCGAAGTTCAGAGCGGATCTCAAGACCCATCTGTTTTCAAAATTCATTGAGGAGCGCTGTTGAACATCGCGGAAATAGCGCTTTATAAGCTAATTGATTGATTGATTGATTGATTGACTTATATACTCAGTATAATACTATATATATATATTATATATATAGTATTATACTGTACTTGTTGGTAGCGTTTGAAAATATCTTTACTTTGGTCTTTTGTAAACACGCTAGAGCGATAATAGTGGAGTAACTTGTAGCTTATAATATGGTACAAACTGTGATTAGATACCGATCATACGAGGAAATTTTATAAAATTTAAAATCGGATTTTAATAACTATTTTTCCAGCATTTTACGTTATTTTTTTAAAGAAAATTTCATTCAAAATGAAAAACCCTAATTCCTCCGCTGATTACACGGAAAACAAGCGTCTGTACGTTGGGGGTTTGTCAGATGACGTCACCCAGGAAATGCTGAGAAAAAAATTTGACAAGTTCGGAATCGTCGAATCTATCGGTATTCATAAAAAGAAAAACAGTAACGGCTTGTTTCTCCACAATCTTCAATTTTTGATTATTAATTCATTTTTTAATTTTTAAAGTAAAATTCAAAATTAGAAAAAATGTTATTGATATAGAATAGAACCTATAATGATGATAATAATATAATAAATTTCCAAATGTATTAATTTATTTAATTTTGCTTGGTCCATGTTTCCAGATGACACATACAATGTCTTTGCCTTCTTGGATATGAAGACATCCCCAACAAATATCCACAAATGTAAAACTTTTTAATTTGCCTAATTCATCCATCCTAATTACTAATTCAAATTGCCAGTTGCAATTAACAACCTATTCATTCCTTTCAATCCTTAATAATCACATTAAAAAAGTATAAAAAAAAATTTTTTTAAACTTTTGATTATTTCAATTTTATCGCTAGGTATCAAAATGTACAATGGTACTCAATGGAATGGAAAAACAGTTAAGCTACAAATAGCTAAAGAAAGCTTCTTAGATAGGTTTGTTAATTAGTTACTTAATTGGTTGTATATTTGGTGCATTATCTAACAAATTTTTCTAGACTAGCCCGAGAGAGGCAGGCCACAACATCCCAAATTGTTGAAGAATGGACCCCCACTGTCCAATCCCCACCCATTTCTACAGCCGATAAGTCATCCCTAACTTCGGTAGACAACTTGACAAGCAAATTAGTGAAAACAACATCTGAACAAATCAAAACAAAAAAAGAAAAACCACCAAAAAATGAGATTTCTGAAAAGAAGAATTTGTATCTCAACGATACAGAAAGACTTTACACAACCATTAACAATGATATGAATAAGACATCAAACAAGGTTGTTGTTATAGTTGCTATCTTTCAATTTTTTTTAATTCTCTCTCTCTCTCTCTTTCTCTCTCTGTCTGTCTCTCTTTCTCTTTCATTTAATCAATTAATCACTCACTCGCCCTGTGTGGTCACCCATTATAAAAATTATTACAATTCATTTAAATTTTAAATAATTTACTTTAATTTCGTGTGTAATTTTCAAATTTTTTCATATCATCAATGGCAATAATAATAACAATAATAACAATAACAATTGTAATTAAAATAAAGATAATATAAATAATAATTCTTTTTATAAAGGCCCTAACGAAGCAAGAAGCCTCTGACTTGAAACGCCTGCAGAGTTTGCGTGTTCGAGATGAAGGGCACAGTCAACAAGTTGATCTTATTAGAAAATCACTTGTGAGTTTTATAATAATAATGTAATAATGCTGTTATAGCTGCAATTTTTCAATTTTTTTTTTCATTCGCTCTTGCTTTCTCTCTCTCTCTCTTTTGCTTTCTCTCTCTTTCACACTCACTCATTCGCTCACTCATTCACTCACACTTACTCATTCGCTCACTCACTCATACATGTTTAACATTCCCAGCATGCTGAAACCATCAATAAGAAAGTTATTTTCAAGTCAGACTCTGAAAATAGTAGCAGCAGCAGCGATGACGACGACGACGATAGCAATGATGATGTTAATGATGATAAAGATGATAAAAACAAAAAGAAGTTATCATTATTCGATGATGGTGATGAAGAGGAAGATGATGTTAAGAAAAGATTTGATGAGAAAAGTCATTTTGAAGGCAAAAAAGGAGAGAAAGTTGGTAAAAATGAATCTTTTTAAAATTTAGTTTTGACATTGCTGATGTTTATATTGGTACCTTAAATGGTATTTATTATTTAAATTTGTTTATTTAATTGGTTTAAATTATTTGATGTAATTATTAGATAATTAGATAATTGTCATTAATAATCTTTCATTCTTTGAGAAATGTTATAATTTTTTAAACTTTCTTTCAGCTATTCAGACTGCAGATGAAAATAAAGGACTCAAGATTTCGATTGGATGAGAAGTTTGCATCTAATGACCAATCGGGTGACAGCACTTATGACGACGACGATGACGACGACGACGATTCAGCCAATCACAGCAAACCTAAAAAGATGAAACTAGACAATGATGAAGGTGACGGCTGAATCAGTTTTCTTTTTTTTTCCTGAATATTAAACTTCGATTGAAATTAAATAATTGTAATGATAATATAACAATAATGTAATAATAATAATTATTATTCGACTATTATCTGATGGAATATCTACCTGAATCTATCTTCAAATTTGCTGAACAAGCCATTCTACAAGGGCCTCATATGACTGCAAACTCTGCAGCTCTGATGAACCACAGACAATCAAACACGTTCTTTCATGTTGTGAATCAGAGAGTTTTAAATAGATACATGAAACTCCTAACTCAGATGAAATTATTTTCTATAATAAATTAATAATATTTTTATTCTAGAGGATTTGGAAGCTGAGAGAAAGAGATCAATACAGATCATGCAGTCAGTTGTTAAAGTTCAACCTGGTAAGAGGAAGTTTCAAGCTTTTGTGTAAGTTTTGTTGATTGATTGATTAATTGATTAATTAACTTATTGATTGATTGATTGATTGATTGATTGATTGATTGATTGATTATATGATTGTTTAATTATTGATTAAGTTTGTTGATTGATTGATTATATGATTGTTTAATTATTGATTAAGTTTTTCACATTAAAATAAAATCAATGACTGATTTGTTGATTTGCTAAAAAATGATTGATGATTGGTTGGTTGGTTGACTGATTGATTGAAACGATTGGTTGGTTAATCGGTTGAAACGATTGGTTTGTTGATTTTTAATTTTGTAGTGATCTTGAAGAGCTGAGGTACGACCCATCGATGCCAGGGCATGAAAGATTTGAACTAAAGTCAAAAAATGATGACACTGGCGATGATGAATCATGGTTAGATGACTTTGTCACTATTATTTTTTTTATCATTAATATCATTATTTTTATTATTTCTTTCACTATTCTTGAGGTTAATTTTTCTAGTTTTGTATTTAATTAGCAAAACGAAAAGAAGAAAGCTAGTGAAGGAAAAAAAAGAGAAAAGACCCACCATGGACGAGAAAAATGATAAGAAAAATGGGGACGATAATAAAAATAACACTGATGCTGATGATGACGACGATGATGACGACGATGATAATGTTAAAAGTGACGACGTGAAAGAAGTGAGTAGAGAGAGGTATGCAGAGATATCATCATCATTGAGAGATGCATTTAAAGGGGACAAACCTTTCAAACTGTCATCTCTGTTTGGCGACGATGATGGCGATGATGATGAGGAGGAGAATGATGAGGACGCTGATGATGAGAAGAGAGATGGCAGTTGTATGAAGAGGAGATTGGAGGAAGGTGATGACGAGATGAGTAAAGCAATCCAACCATTAGGTATGTTTTTTCTTTTCAATTTTTTTTTCATTGAGTTTTTTTTTTTGAGATAATTTTCCATTTTTTTTCAGTTAAAAAGTCGAAATTAATGATGACGATGTTCGAATGGGATAAAGATGACGATGAAGATGATAACGAAAGTGGCGGTGATGATGACGGATGTGGTGGTGATGACGGAAGTGGTGGTGATGAAAGTCTTGGCAGGATTTCCAGTAGGACAAAAACTTTAAAAATTGAAAGCCAGAAAGAGGTTGAGAAAAAGGAAATTGTTAAAAAGGTTGCGGAGAAAAAGTTGGTTTTTATTTTTTGTTCGGTAATATTTGTGTTTTTCTTTTTTCATAATAAAAATTAACTTATTTCAAATTTTTTTTTAAAAGTATCTCACCTTTTTTTTGTTAAATTTCCCAGGCAATCAAAACAAACAACCTCCAATAACTTTTTCTTTGATGAGAATGAGTTGATTTCAAATGGTAAATTTCGTTCAAAATTAAATTTTGAATTATGTGACGTTAAATTTTACTATTAAAATAATTTAATAGTATTCAATCAAAGATATTTAATTCAATTTTCTTTCTTTAATTTATTTTTTATTTATTCTTTAGGTAGTGATTTTCACAGAACCCAAAACATGGAATCACTAAGAGAGGCCTGGTCTAAATCAAGACAGTACTTCGTTGACGTAAGTGCCAAAAAATTTCTCATTAATTATTTTTTTTAATTATTTTAGTGACTTTTTTACGTCCTACCTCGGGAAACCGGGTCTCTGGACGCAAAACGAAGATTGATTGATTTTAGTGACTTTTTTGTAAACTTTTCAAAAATCTATAACTTTTTTTTATGAAACTAATCAATGATGAGGACATTTTATTATACAGCATTATCAGAGAGATTGACGACAATCGCAATTTAAGTGCTTATGCCAGTTATACTAGTAACAATTATACTAATTTAATTATGTGATATCGATGAAGATGATGACATGAGTATGCTATTTATTTATTTATTAATGGTGATATTTTTTCTTAACTTTCAGTCCTACAGACTGAGGAGAAAGAGATATAGAGGTAGTGCTACGGCAGATGTCGGCTCGAGCACGAAAAATAAACTTGTGAATAGAAATTCCAAGAGTAAAAAATTTCATCAGAAAATAGACCGGAATAATTCTTTTAAGAAAAATAAATAATTATTTTTTAATTATAATTATTAATAATTTTTTGTAATTATTGGTGTAATGTATAGTAATATGTTAACAATGATTTAATAATAATATAATACACATGATGTCTTTTTTAAAGGGTTAGTCTATGATTTTCTTGGGTTATTGGCTTATTTACGAAATTACAAGGGTTTCGACAAACAACTACTACTAATTATTTATTTGGCTTAATATGTTTAAAACATTGTAATTAAATCGAATTATGTAATTTGAAATTATTTTTTTCAATTTAAATAAAATTATTGCCTTCTGTTTCAAAAACACAGTGGCTTACCACTTATTGAAGCCATTGGTTGGCTTACGAAATTGCATGGATTTCAACAAACAACTAATACTAAATATAAACTCTACTCTATATGTTGAAAATATGGTAATTAAATCGAATTATGTAATTTGAAATCATTTTTGTCAATTTAAATGAAAATATTGCCTTTTGTTTCGAAAACGGGTTGGCTAACCTACCGCTTAATAGAGCCATAGGTTAGCTTGCGAAATTGCAATATTTTCATTGAGATTGACAAAAATAATTTCAAAATACATAATTCAAGGTTCATTAGTTGTTTAGCTGATTGGTTTATTGGATAGTTAAATGATTGATTAGTTGATTGTTCTGACAGATTATTGAATTCAGCGGTTGATTGATTCATTTGTTGATTGGCTGGTTATTTGATAGTATAGTATCAAACAGTATCTTATTGAAAAAAATATTATCATGAAATGAATAAAAAACTTTTTCAAAAAGTTAAAAAATTCTCAATTTGATTTCATTGCGATTTCGATTTTGGATGATTATTTAATAAGGCAGATGCGTTCGTCACAACTTCGAAGTGCAAGTGCTATAGTTCGATTCCTAAACTCCGTGCGTATAATGATAATAATTTTTTGAGTGTCAGATGATCGCAGATTTGCCGTCAATTGTAATCAGGAGAGCTTTGAAATTATTTGCTAAACAAACATCTGTCTATCATTATGAAAAAATTTCAACATATCCATTGTCGTCCTAGCCGAAGCATGCAAATGTAAAACATTCCCCTTGTAACAAGACTAGAATAAAACCAAAACAAGGCACAATGTACATTAGGCACTATACATTGATATAAAAAAAATCCAGGAAAAAATGAACACAACAGGAAAGCAGGAAGAAGTTTTTGGTTGAATGCCAAATATTGCCTGGTACATGATATTGATAACGAAAATCTATAAACCTTTCATGCACAGTGCACGCCACATTTTGTGTGTATGTGTATGAGTGCGTGTGCGTGTGTGTGCGTGTGAGTGTGTGTGGGTGTATGTGTGTGTGTGTGGGTGTATGTGTGTGTGAGTGCGTATGAGTGCGTTATACACGGTTGTATGTGTTTACAATATGCATGCTCGAGCGTGTTTTCGTGCCATTGTTTTGTTTTTGGGTGTTTATTTTCTGAACAGTAAAAATATTTTTTGTTCTCGCGGTGCATGCAGTTCGTTCAATGCGCAGTTGCGGTTCGTGAACGTGTCGTGCGTTCGCGCTTCTTGTTAAATGTTGGTAGGGCCTGTAATATTTACTTACATAGGTGGATGGGAGTTGTTCCGGTAAGCTTGATTTAAAATATACTTCATCCAGAATTTTTGTGGTCTATAAATTTTTAGAAATTAATTCAATTTTTCCACATTTCAATCATCATGATGAAATTACATTATCACATTTTTAAAGGAATTAAAATGTTAATTAAGAAAAATGAATAATAGTTATAAATCTTCATTGTAAAATAATATACAACTATTGTTTTTTGTTCGTCGGTTTGAGAGGTCGAAAATTGATTGATATGGTTGGCTAGCCAGGACTCATTGATTTGAAGCATTGATTTATGCGCAGTTTGGCCGCTTGACATTCAAGGTTAAGAATTGAAAAACCAACAAATTGAGGTATAAATCATTAGTTCGACAGGTCAGTCAAGCTGCTTTATCATTGTCACCACCATTATTTTCATCTTTATCACCATCTCTGTTCATCAGATCATCTTCACCTTCATTATACTCACCACATCCTCGTCTTGTTGTCATCCTCATTTTCATCATTATCATCATCTCTTTTTCACCATCATCTTCATCATCATCTTTATTATCACCATCATCATCTTCATCACTATCACTATCAAACACCTATAGCGCTCAAGTTTGATTGGCAGAACATTAATAAAGACATTAGCAAGAGCAAAGCTCAATAAATAAAACCGCCGAGTATTGCGCTATATTAATTTTATACGCGCACACCACACACACACACAGACACACACACACACAGACACACACACACATACACCAGCCACATACAAACACATAGACACATTCACTCAATAGCACACGTGCAAGCTGTGCCGCTGTAATAAGTGCTCATTCGTATGAAGAAATTTTGCTGGCTCCATAGAGTCAGTCTGGCAAGAGTGCATCTCATTCATCCTTGAAGATTACGACGACGACGACAAAGATGATGACGACGAAAATGATAAAGTCAATGATGATGATGACGACGACAATGAGGATAATGTTGACGATGATGACGATAATGATGACGAAGATGATGACGACGGTGATGATGACGACGGTGATGATGACGACGGTGATGATGACGACGGTGATGATGACGAAGATGATGATGAAGATATCGATGACGATGTTTATGACGTGATTGCTCGTATTTTGATTATCCAATCAAAAATCTGGTTTACAACGCTCTTGTTCTGTATCGATGAGTGTCGACGCGTGTTCGCCTCTGTCACGGCCTATGTTAGTAGGCTATGCGTTTGTCTATGTCTGTGTGAAGGTGCATATGTATGTTTGTGTTTGCGTCTGTGTGTGTGTGCCTGTGCATTCGTGCATGTGTACATATACGTACATTTTTTAGGTGTTTGTTTATTCTTATATATTTTAGACTCATAATACATGAAGTGTTTTTCTCTTTCTTTCTTTCTTTCTCTCTCTCTCTCTCTCTCTCTCTCTCTCTCTTTCTCTTTTTACTTTGGTTTTCATATAAGAAAAGTGTGTGTGTATGCGTGCGTGCGTATATGTATGTGTGTATGAACGTGTGTGTAGGTGTGTTAAATATAACTGTATCGCTTAAATTAATTAGATGACGTGAAGTGACTGAATTAAGGAAGACACCTTCCGAGCTACTGCTCCATAACTTCAAGATCCCTGGCCACAACTTGGCATGTAGTAATTGCATAACTAATAGTAACAGTATAAGCAATAGTGATAGTTAATGTTGTAGTAGTAGCAGCAGCAGTAGTAGTTGTAGTAGTAGTTGTAGCAGCATAGTAGTAGTAGTAGTAGTAGTAGTAGTAGTAGTAGTAGTAGTAGTAGTAGTAGTAGTAGTAGTAGTAGTAGTAGTAGCAGTTGTAATAGCAGTAGTAGCGTTATTTCTTGAAATTTATATTTAATCACTGATTCTGTAATGTTGATTTGTATTTAAATCACCCATTATATATAAATTAATTGATATAAATTAACTGTCGAAATTCTTAATTATTATTATAAATATGGGATATAATATGATTAACTATTTTTGTGATAATAAGGTGCGAAAACGAAGCAATAAATAATGCAGTGAATTTATGAGCCAGTGTGCGAACGACAGGTAAGACTGCTTAATTTACACTCGTATAAACGACTGTGTGGTGTCGACGCTATGGCATTTTGACGTTCTGATTTCTATGTTTGTTTGTTTGTGTGTGTGTGTATGTATGTGTTTGTGTGTGTGTGTATGTATGTGTTTGTGTGTGTGTATGTGTTTGTGTGTGGATTTTAAATTTTAACGCGCGTGTGTGTGAATTTTAAATTGTGACGTGTGTGTGTGTGTGTGTGTGTGTGTGTGTGTGTGTGTAGTGTGAGTGTTAATGTTAATGTGTCGACGCTGTAGCATTTTGGTGTTCTGATTTCTATGTTTTTGTGGATGTGTGTATGTGTATGTATGTATGTGTGTATATAAGTGTGTGTGTATGTGTGTGAATTTTAAATTTTAACGTGTGTGTGTGTCTGTGTGTGTGTGTGTGTAGTGTGTGTGTTAATGTGCGCTATTCATATTATGACATTGAAATCATTTTTTTTTCTACTACACATGCTTGCCAAATTGATTCAGAAAGCTTAAAGAAAGTCATAAATTTTTAATCAGCGAACGTGCCCGCGTTATAATTGTATGCTTTTTTGTATGTTTATGTGTGTATATTAATGTTTTTGTATGTTAATTTGAGTATATTTATGTTTTTGTATGTTTATGTTTGTATGTTTTTGTGTATATCTGTTTATGTTTATGTATGTTTACGTGCGTACTTGCCTACGTTTTTGCGTTTATTTGTTTGTATACGTATATTAAATTTATTTTCTCTTTCTTATCAATATTTTTATAAATTTCAATCATTTTTTTTGTGTCTTAGAAACGAAAATGAAAAAGTATTAAAAAACAACAAAAAAGAACTACTAACTCATCATTACAAATCATGACATATTAATACATTGACAGTTAACATGGTGATATGAATAATTCAACACAAATCACTGAAAATTATTATTTGATTATAATTTGGACTAAAAAATTGAAAAAGGCTTTGGCGGTAAAATGTTTAATGTTTTGGAAATGAGAATTTTTTCTAAGAAACCTAATCACTAAATGATTATTTAATTTGCTGGGAAACGTTTACGAGTGTGTGTGTGTGTCTGTGTGTGTCTCTCTCTGTGTGTATGTATGTGTGTATGTGTGTGTGTGTGAGTGTTTGTGTGTGGTGTGTGTGTGTGTATGTGTGGTACATTAATTTAAAATGCTTCAAACAGCTAAGCCCTGTGCAGAGAAACCTCTTTCAAAAAATTCAAAAGACGTTCAATTTATGAAATTTTTTCCGCTGTGGAAGGCTTTACAATTTGCATGTTTATGTTTTTGGTTGAATATGTGTTAATATGAACGTATGTCTGAAAAAAAAACACTAAAAAAAGTAATA